ATATATAATATTTTAAAAAAGTATTTCAAAATAAATATTTATAAATATTTATCTAATAACTTACTAATATTGTATGCTGTCTGGGTTAATACTTTTAATCTTAACAGTACTTTGTGTAAGTATTTCATCACTTAGCAAAGTATTATACAGGGTGACCCATTTTAATCTGTAATTTCGAATATCTCCTAAACTACACGTTCTACGGGAAAATAGTTGCGACAAAAAATGTTCAGAACAGAAGGGTTCACAAACTTGTGCTAATGACCTTGACCTTGAGATGACCTATCAAGGTTATTTGAAGGTTAAGGTCTTTTTTTCAGTGGGAACCCCTATTTTTGACTCCGGATTTGGAAAGAACAGGAAATTTTACGTTCAAAATGATATTTTGAAAATTTTTTATATGACCTTCAAAGGTCAAATAAAGGTCAAATGTCTAAAAATGGCTGTAGAGCTGTTTTTCTGAGTGATTATGGTTTTTTAGGATTGACAAGCGTTGGAGGAACTTTAAAAAGTAAGTGTGATACGCTATGATCTTCTTGACCTTTAAGTTAACTATGAAGGTCATTTGAAGGTCGAGGTGATTATTTGAAATAGGAATCTCTATTTTTGACGTTGGATTTGAAAAAGCAGAAAATTAACGTGAGTAAAGACACGTCTTCGCGATTTTCATTGCTCGTGTGAAATCCACCACGCAAGGTGAAAATCGCTTTCTTGCACGCTCATTGGAGTGAGATATTCTTCTTACTTTTGGCGTTACCCAGAAACAACGACGTGGACGTAGTAAGTACTGTTTTCTTTGAGGTGCTTGATTCCCGTGAGTCCCCTTGCCTCTCACGTTTGGGGTGCTTGATTCCCGTGAGTCCCCTTGCCTCTCACTATTACTTTGGTTATGCTACTAATCAATCACGAAGTAACTGTTCAAAGTTTCCTCCGTTGGCTTGAAGACATAAATGTAAACGTCTTTCGAAACTGTCTACAGTTCGTAGCAAGGTTTCTCTGGGAATAGCCGCGCAAGCTCTATTATCTAAATAAGATAAGCCGATCACAACACAAATTAAAAAATCTTTCATATTCTGTGCGGTGCAAACTGATTGTTACTGAAATTTCTTTCTTATAATAAAATTGGTAAGAGATAAGCAAAAAAATTATGAATTTTTCTCCCCCCTTTTGAGAAATTTCCACTCATGACATGAGTAAAAACAAAAACAATCGTAATTAGCTCTATCACAACTTTTAAACTTAGTAGCAATACAATTTAAAGTTGAATTTCTTAATTTCAAATCTGATAAGCGCAAGGTAGAAGTTTCACAAATTGCCATTTCGTAGGTTTAGGTTGAACTAACTACAATAGTCATTTTTGTTCTCTGACGTAGAAACGTCGAACATCAACAGGTTTTTTAGTAAGTGTTGTGATCAAGTTTTTATTTTTTTGTACATTAGTCGTTTGTATCGATATTTGTTAATATCTCATTAATTTGAGCAAAATAAAGTCTTGATATTTAAGTGAAAATAGTTTTAAAAGAACTTCTTCAGAATGGCGGATTATCCTTCTAATGAAATCGTTGATATGATATTGGTTTTAGGAGAATGTCATAACAATTACGTCACTGCATCTAGGCATTATGCTGAACGCTTTCCTCAAAGAAGACATCCTACGAATGTAACCATTCGAAGTTTAACTGAGCGAGCTCGCAATGGACATCTTGTTCGTCAACGCCAACATCGTGAATACGAAAATGATGCGCGAGCTTTGACTATTCTAGCAGCTGTTCATCGTGATCCACATGTTAGTACTCGTCAGATCGAAAGGGAAATTGGCATACCGCAAAGCACAGTATCAAGAATTTTGGGAGCTTTAGATTATCATGCCTATCACATCACTTTGGTGCAAGCTTTAAGACCACATCATATTTTAGCTCGTGTAAACTTTTGCCAATGGGCTTTACAAGTGATACGGAATGATTCTCATTTTTTTAGATATGTACTATTTTCTGACAAGGCTAAACTTTATAGCGACGGACAGCTGAATAGACACAATTGTCATTATTGGTCGAACGAAAATCCTCATTGATACAGAGAAGTAGAGCATCAAAATCGATGGAGTCTCATGGTTTGGTGCGGAATAGTCAACGGTTACCTCATTGGACATTACTTTTTCGATCGGAACGCTGACAGACACAGCTACTTGGAATTGCTAAGAGACCATTTACCAGGACTTTTAGAGAATGTTGACTTAGCTACAAGGTTGCGAATGTGGCTTCAACAAGACGGCGCTGCGCCACATTATGCTAATGATGTACGTGAGTTCTTAAATGAACATCATAACGGCAGGTGGATTAGACGAAGAGGTCCAGTTGAGTGGCCCCCTAACTCACCAGATATGACATCACCGGATTGTTTTCTGTGGGGATACGTAAAAAATGTCGTATTCGCCCAACGGCCTACGACTAGAGAGGACATAATGGACATAATTCGAAGAGCTTGCGCGGCTATTCCCAGAGAAACCTTGCTACGAACTGTAGAGAGTTTTGAAAGACGTTTACATTTATGTCTTCAAGCCAACGGAGGAAACTTCGAACAGTTACTTCGTGATTGATTAGTAGCATAACCAAGGTAATAGTGAGAGGCAAGGGGACTCACGGGAATCAAGCACCCCAAACGTGAGAGGCAAGGGGACTCACGGGAATCAAGTACCTCAAAGAAAACAGTACTTACTACGTCCACGTCGTTGTTTCTGGGTAACGCCAAAAGTAAAAAGAATATCTCACTCCAATGAGCGTGCAAGAAAGCGATTTTCACCTTGTGTGGTGGATTTCACACGAGCGATGAAAATCGCGAAGACGTGTCTTTACTCACGTTAATTTCCTGCTTTTTCAAATTCAACGTCAAAAATAAAGATTCCTATTTCAAATAATCACCTCGACCTTCAAATGACCTTCATAGTTAACTTAAAGGTCAAGAAGGTCATAGCGTATCACACTTACTTTTTAAAGTTCCTCCAACGTTTGTCAATCCTAAAAAACCATAATCACTCAGAAAAACAGCTCTACAGCCATTTTTAGACATTTGACCTTTATTTGACCTTTGAAGGTCATATAAAAAATTTTCAAAATATCATTTTGAACGTAAAATTTCCTGTTCTTTCCAAATCCGGAGTCAAAAATAGGGGTTCCCGTTGAAAAAAAGACCTTGACCTTCAAATAACCTTGAAAGGTCATCTCAAGGTCAAGGTCATTAGCACAGGTTTGTGAACCCTTCTATTCTGAACATTTTTTTGTCGCAACTATTTTCCCGTAGAACGGGTAGTTTAGGAGATATTCGAAATTACAGATTAAAATGGGTCACCCTATATTAGTATTTAAATATTGACAATGTTCTGCGTAAGTATTTTATCACTGGACAAAGTATTACATATCAATATTTAAGTATTGAAATCAATCATAAGGTAGGATTTGTAACATTAAATATTGAAATACTTGAGTACTAGAAGCTGTATTTGAATCACAGAATATTACTAAATACTGTACTTTTAATACTGAAAATAAGTAATTAATCAATAATTCTTAGTATGACATTTCTATGCTTATAAAGGGTATGCTTATAAAGATTATTTTTACAACATCGATAAAAGTGTACGAAATACATACAGATGCTCTGGTCGTCGTATAACTGGATGCCGTGGCTTGGCAAAAGTCGGTGAAGTCAATTGCAAAATCACTGTTAACCCTTATAGAAATATCATACTAAGAATCATTGATAATTACTTATTATCTAGTATTTTTAATACTGAAAATAAATAATTATCAATGATTCTTAGTATGATATTTCTATAAGGGAATCCTCTTCATGATCATGCATCTGATAATATAAAAATGCAAAAATATATATTAAAAGAAGAGATGTTACGGCTATCTCGTGAAACATTACAGACATCCAAAGAAATATTTAACGATGTTTTTCGAAGGTAATTATAAATCACAAAATATTAATACTTAATGGTATAGCATGTATAATAACTCATAATCTTACCTTTATAAGATGATTGATATAGAACATGTTTTATAGAAATCCAGAATCAGCAGCACTTATAGCCTTCAAGACGATTAGAAGCCAACTGAATAGAGAACGAACAAAATTGCCACAATCTGTAGATATGCTTGCTGATGAGTTGAATCATTACGCTCCAACAAGTTATTCCGATCTTTAGTTGCTACCGAACTTTAGTTACCGACTTCCTTTTGTTATCGGCTTTCAGTTACCGACATTTAGTTATGGACCTTCATTTACCGATTTCCTCTGGAAAAGTTATATTTATAAGGGATGTGTAACAGCAAGTGACGGCAAAAAAGCATTACTTTTCTCCAATGAAAAATTGCTGCAGACACTTGGATCATCGACTGAAATGTTTTGTGGAGTTACATTTTCTAATTACTATATTACATTTATTACTTTATATTTAAAATAAAACTAAGTTATTTAAGTAATTTAAAATAAAATAAGTAAATA